TGGTAATATAATTTACTTTTAACACGACTCGCTTTGTTTTTAATTATGCTTCCCTTTAAATTCTTACCACATCGTGTTTTATTTTCATTGATATTTATTTATTTTTATTTTTATTTGTGTCAGGGTCTGATTTTTAGTTACCTTTGGTGCATGTGGATATCCCCCAGAAGCCAGGAGAGGACATTGGATCCCCTGGATCTGGAATACAGGAAGTAGTGAGTGTTTATAACTGCATTCCTGTCATCTGGTCCTCTGCAGAAACAGCAAGTGCTTTTAACCACTGAGCTATCTCTCCAACCATGATTTTAATAACTAAATAGGAAGCTATATTTTCAAGAGCTATAGATATACAAAGTATATTCATTATAGTGCTCCCTTCTCTCTAAAATTTAGTTTCTTTCTTTCCACCACTTTTTCTTTTGTTTCTGGTTTAACCTTCTTGAACAAATTTGCAAATATAAGTATATGGGTATGATTGGAACTCTGACAGCAATCAGGAACTCTGACAGTGCCTGTTGCTAGGCCTACAGGCAGACTCCAATTGACTCATAAGGAAGTATGTTATGTGCATGCCTTGGCAACTGGTTTGAGCCAATTTCCTCTACTCTATGGGCCTGTCCTGCTATATCTTTTGACTTAAATTTTGAAGTCAAAATATTTTTAAAATGTATGGGTTGGTTTAATCTATCAACTTTCATAATCAAATGTCTCTCAGTAGTAGTTATTTGTTCATCAACCATCAAAAAATTTAAACACAACACCATAACATACAGTATCTAGACTCCCTATGTATTTTCCATCTCTATGTAGTTTGTGACATTTTTTTCTTACTCTATTTCTTAAGGACTTTCTCTACCATTTTTCTTTTCTTTCCCAAGCCTATGTATATTTTTAAACACAGCATAATATGTATAGAGGTTTTGTTTTGCTTTTTTTCAAATCTAAATCTGTCTTTAATGCATATCTCTATATTTTGGTAATGACATGAGTCTTTAAACTGCTAAGCAGGTGTGGCTAGGATTTAACTGGCAGCTTTGGTGCCTTGCTCTGCTTCATTCCTTGGTTCCCTGACAGGCTAGTCTTGTGGCAGAGGTATGTTTACCACCAGCTCTGGGAACCATGTTTACCAACCCAACTCTGGGAAGGTTTTGGATCCACACTGCCTCCAAATAGTGTGCAGCCCAGCACCCACAATCCCCATTCAAGTGCTCTGTAGTAAGACATCCCAAAAGAGTTGTCCTTGCATGAACCAGGAAGGTTTTTTTTTTTTTTTTTTTTTAATCTTTAGCATTTTTTTTTTTTTTTGTCAATGTTCACAGTAAAGATTCAATATCTTTTTTTTTTTTTTTAAGATTTATTTATTATGTATACAGTGTTCTGCCTACATGCCAGAAGAGGACATCAGATCTCATTGCAGATGGTTGGGAGCCACCATGTGGTTGCTAGGAATTGAACTCAGGACCTCTGGAAAAACAGCCAGTGCTCTTAACCTCTGTGCCATCTCTCCAGGCCAGGAAGTTGCTTTTTAAAGGAACTATTTCTCTGCTTACCACCAGCAAACAGAGCCTACAGGAGAAAAGATGGTTACCAAGAAGTTGCTCTTAACTCCATTCTTTTGTGTCTAGAATCCTTTTTTTAAACTTTGCCAGGTTTTATGTAGAAATTACCACATGTTGGAACACCATATGTAACGGACATTTCTGACATTTCTTGTCCCAATTGCCCACTCCCCACCGCTGTACCTGTTTCTAAATAATCATTCAGAGGCTTATATTAATTATAAATGCTCAGGCTTATTATTAACTAGCTCTTACATTTTAAGTTGACCCACATTCCTTATTTATACTCTGCCACTTGGGGTACCTTTATTAGTATGGCACATTTATCTCCTTAGCCCTTTGTATCTGGCTGGCAACTCCTTACTATACCTTTCTCCTTCCAATCATCCTTAGTTTGGTGGCCCCACCTATACTTCCTGATTTGAGGGACAAATCCTTATATTGTACAAGAGAATTATTCTACAGCAATCAAATTTTCTCCTACCTTTTTTTCCCCAGCCCTATATCCTGGAAGTAACTCTAAGTCATTTTATAGAAATGCTCTTATTTTTTTTTCTTCTATTGGTCAGGACTAGAGTGTTTGGCCATCCTATGGTTTATGGAAACTTTCTCTAGATATCACCATTTACATTATGTTCAACGGTTTGTAGCTATCAGGAATGAAAAGAAAAACCTATTAGATATATATGGGTGAAGACATATCACTAAGACTGTTTATTAGCAATATGATTACTCATTCAAATTGTGAGTGAATTTGTTTATGTTAGATGTCACCAAACTCTCTTATAAGTTCTGGTGGTTTGCATATTATACAATAGTGTAGGAACAGGTCTTTCCTACACAGGTTTGCTAATAGAATATATTCATACTTTTAAATTTATGCCAGCCTGATAAAAGAGAAAAGTGTTAAATATTTGAACATGCATTTGTGATCTTGAAATACAGCTTAGTGGTTATTTGGCTATTATGTGCATTGCCCTCGCTTCAAATCTAGAACCATAGAACAGACATCCAAACATTCTCTGAGGGAGATTATGCAGCCTTTTGTATGCTTTAATAAATATGCTGCCTATTTATATCATTTTCATATTTTTCCTAATGAGTTTTTAGATAACAAAATATTTAAAATCTCCTGTTATTGTGTTAGTGTGTGCTTATTTTGCATATTATTGTGTTAGTATTTATGTGTATGTCTCCTTATGCTTCCTGGTACCTTTTGTTTCATAAATTTCAGGGTTGCACATAAGTTTGGCTCCTGGCCAAAATCCTATGTTAAATCTTTCATAGGAGAGAACAAAAAACGAAAGGAGAGAACAAAGCTTTATCTGACATGTTTTGTTAGGGAGCTATTTTTACATGTTTATCTTATAATTCTCTTGGTTGTTTTCTTCTGCTTTATGTTGATGCTCCTTATTAAATTTACTTCGCATGTGCTTTCCCTGGGGTGAATTAAAAATTGTTCTGCATTTTATAATTTTGTTTATTTCTGCCATTTCTTTGCATAGGTTAATCAATTCTCTTACTCCTTGCTATTTGATTATATTTAATTCTATTTGAATTTCAACTTATAGCTTTCTTTTCATCATTTATTTTAAATAATTTTGTGTCTTTCTGTGGTGTTCCCTGATCTCCAAAGGGTGGGGATGGAGGACACCAAAAAAACCATGGCCCTTCAATCAACTAAGTTTGCTCACATGGGCTCAGAGAGATTGAAACAGCAAGAAGGGAGGCCTACCTGGGTCTGTTCCAGGTCCTCTGTGTATGTTCTGGCTGTTAGTTTGATGTTTTTATGGGAATTTTAGCAGTGGGAGCAAGTGTATCTCTGACTCAAAAAAAAAGTTGTATGTATGCACCTGTGCATATTTGCATTTGTGGGGGTGGTGGTTCATGGATGTTTGTAGAGGCCAGAAGGGCATGTCAAGTGTCTCTGTCACTCTGCATACTCCTTTTGAGGCAGTCTTCCATTTTCTTGGCCAGACCGGAAGCCAACAACCTTCCTACATCTGCTTGCCTTCCCTTCGAGCTGGAGTTGCAGGTGTTTGAGGGATTTTTTTTTGTTGTTTGTTTGTTTGTTTTTGGCTTATTATGTGGATGTTAAAATTCTTCTTCCAGTCCTCCTGAATGTGGAACAAAGGCCTTTTATTGATTGTGTTAGTGTTTGCTTATTTTTCATATAGATTAATTCTTATCTGTTGATTTCTGCAACACTGCAGAATGGATTAGACATTCCTCCTTTCACCATGTGATAGCTGTTAGATTCTTTGGTTACCTGGGCTATTTTGTGCCAAAGGAATAAAACCCAGCTGTTTGCTACATAGCTATTAGGAGAGCAAAATTGTTTCTTTTTGTCTGCTTGTTTGTTTTGATTTCATGAAAGATAATGAGTTTATTTCTTCATATTTCAAGGTTACATTTTGTCTTAAAGATTACTGTGTTGTAATCTGTTCTTCTCTTATCCCTTTTGTCAACATGTCATTATGGAAGAGAACTAACTTTTGTTTTCAAGTTTTTTATTTTCTTAATATCTGTGGTCAGAAGATTTCTGTTGAAATCATGCCCAAACCTTATCATCAGACACACTTTGGAGGGCCTCTAGTGTAGCCAGTGTGGCCAATGACCTAACCGAAACAAATTAAAGTATGTATACAAGTGGAATTAAACTGTCCTCGGTGTTTGCAGAAATAATGTCAAGTGAACTTAGATCCACACCTAAGTATCTTAATTTAATTTTGCAAACTTTCTCACTGCCTATCTAAGCCACAGAATCTTAGAGTGAGTTAGAACTGGACAGCAACAAGCTAATTTAGATGCCAGATTTAGTGATTTTTCTCCCTTTTTCGTACAGTTCTTTTGAAATTTCAGTGATCTCTGCGATTCTGTTGCAAATAAGGATGGAGTGGAATGTGATTTTTTACTTGCATTATTACAATAGGAAGAAACACTGGAAAGTCATTATATTGTCACTGTGGTCTTTAACTTTTTAAGCATTACACAATCTCGTTATTCAGGACCATCAAATTTGTACCCTGGGACTCAGATGCGACCCCCTTAAAGAAGAATGGTCAATGTCTCATTGACCACAAGAAAATCGTAATTAAACCTATAGCCATAGTCTTTTTCACACAGCTCCACCATTCACTATGTTTAGTTATTTCTTGGTTTTGATGTCAAGAATTCATCATGGCAAAAGTGCAGTGGCAGTGGTGGTGGCATGTTGCCTGCATGCAGGTCTCTCACCTGCTTGCTGCCTGCTGAGGACTGCACTAGAGTAGTGGACTTCCACCAGCGATGGGGCAGGGCCCAGCTGCCTTGCTGGTGCTGAGATGGGATGGGGAGGTGCACAGAGTGTGCCCTGGGGTTTAGGGTCTGCTCATTGGGGCAGTTAAGCTGGGAGGCCATCCACTCACCTGTTCTTCTAGCTGGTATGGGTTGTGCCTGTGCCTATGTAGTCTGCTGGGGTTCTGGAGGAGGGCTAGCCACAGCGAGGATGATCAGGTGCATTGGGTTGGACAGTGGGTCTTGGAGGAACAGAATCCAGTGGGTGGTGGTGGTGCAGTCTGGAGGTCTGTCTGTCACCTGCTTAGCAGCTGCTGGTGACGACTTCGTGTATTCTCTTTATAAATGGACACGAGATACAATTTGTACAGAGGTAAGTGTATGAACTTTATTAGTTAATGATGACAACAGTGTGAAATTATGATTTATTATATTTAATTAAAGAATGGTAAATAATAATATAATCATACACTTCAAAATCTACTTAATAAAGTTCAGTAGGATGAGAAAAAAAAGAAAGGAAGATTTAGGAGACCCCTGTTAAAAACTGATATATTGAACAGAATAAAGCAACTAAGGCTATGAAAGATGTTTTGAGGTTTTCACCAGGTAGCGCAGGCTAGTCTTAAACTTGTGACTTTTCCACATAGCCATCTCCAATGCTGAGATTACACGTGTGTGCCATCTGGCTCTGTAGGAATTTAAACAAAACTAATTATAAAGTCTAGTTTAAGAGAACTTTCTACCCAATAAACAGGGATACTTATAAATGTCAGTTTAAAACATAAAATCAGCATTTGTAAATACAAAAATGTATAGCATATTTAAAAAGAATTCTAAAGAAACTACACATTCTTTTAAAGAGAGTATATGGAAAGTATGGTTTCAAAAGGGTTCTTTTTTTTTTTTTTTTTGATTTGTGTTCAGGTTTCATCTTTTAATTAGCTCCATAAAGGACATCCTAAACACATCAGACACAACAGAATATCTTTTCTTCCAGTATTAAA